CCAGACCAGCGTGTCACAATAGCCCAGAGCTGTTCCTGCCGCTCTTTGGTAAAGCCCTCTGCTTGTTCCTTGCAGGAAGACTCAAAGATTCCTCGGCCAAAACCTCTTGAGAGTTCAAGAGCTACCTGACACCTGACAAGGGGTGGCTCTTTCTAAGTTCAGCGTAGCTTTCAAAGGCCAGGAAGCCAAAGGAGGCTTCTGATTTCGGGGGTGGATCAAGCTTGCCCAAGCCCGGGTCACTCACTCCCTATCACTCCAAAATGCCAGAACTGCATTGGGGAGAGTGCCTGGGCATACGAAGCTGGCGTGGCCAAGACAAGAGGGCCAGGGCGCCCACTTTCCAGCACGCAAGCAGGGTCCTGGTCTCGGCGTCCTCCACGGTTGACCCCAGCCTCCACCAGGCCTCAGGGACCCTCCCCATGACTGTGAACACTTTTCTTCTTCCACTTGTCTGATATGGGGGTTGGGGTCAGAGGCTGGGTGGGGCAGCCAGTGACCACCAGGTCACATCGGGAGATGGTTCCGTTTATAGGCTGGCCAGTCCCAGAGTCACCTGTGACCCATGAAGAGACCACTGAGCACTGGTAGGAAACAGGGTCCCTCTCTGTCCACGGGTCACTGAATACCTCTTCCTCCCTCTGCCAGGTCTTTGGAAAGATTGCCCTGAATGATACTACAGAGATTAACCGGAACAACAACTTTCAGACCTTTCCCCAAGCTGTGCTGCTCCTTTTCAGGTGGGTCCTGAGGACACAGGTGTGTGCACACGCACACGCACGTGCACACACACACACACACACCCCTGCATGATGCCTCCTGTGGCCTGGCTGTAGACTTAATGGGATCCTCGCCTAGGGAGTCAGAGCTCTCTCTCTCCCTGCCTAGGAAGCCAGTGGGTTCCTCGTCATTTATGATGCAACCCACGGGGCACTGGCACCCCTGCTGGGACACACCCACAGCAAAAGTCACATGTGGGAAGCGCCCTGGCTTGGAATCTTGGCTTAAAGCCAAGCTGGCAGCAGGCTGGCTTTGTGACCTTGAGCAAGACATGTCACTTCTCTGAGCCTCAGCTTCCTCATAAAATAAATACAGGCCCCGATCACTCTGCCAGCCCCATGCCATTTGCCATGTTCGGTGGTTATGTCCACGTGCACTGAGTGTCCTGCTCATTTAAGCCAGCCTCGAGTCCTCGCACTTTTGGGGAGGCCACCTCCTCGGGTGTGGCTGCGGAGATGGTGTTCTTTTTTTTTGAGTTGGAGTCTCACTCTGTCACCCAG